TCAAGGATCTACCCATTATTGCATTTTTTTTTTACATGAGCACTTGTTATAGGGTTAATTTGGTTAATAACAAAAAAAAAACATAATAACTAACCAAAAACCATAAAATTAGTGGTTATGATGAATGCCACATGGAGAATTTTGCTTAGTTATTATGTTTTAATATTTTTCTTGGTTTATACTTGCCAATTTCTCATTGTTATATACCTTACGATTTTGAAGTAACTACTCCTTAATGGGGTTTTTTGCATAAACATAGGAATTCTAAATATTTTGGTTATAAATATTTAATAATGTCCTAAACAAATTCTGACATTAAAATCTTCACATTAGACGTAAAATAAAAATTGACCAAAACGATATACTTGTCACTTTTTGGTTAAATATTCCGGAAGCCCGTTATTACATTTTTTTTCCAAAATTTACGAGCTGTTTCATATTTAAAACTGTATACAAATCTTATATACAACAAAAATGTACACAAAGAAACAAAATAATTCACTGCGAGTTTCCGTTGAATGTGTGTCGGACAAAAAGAAGTGTCAGTTTTATTGGGAAAACGGCCAATTCGAACTATATCGTTGCTGATTATTTATACATGAAGTATTGAACTCGGTCAAAACACACATGAACTCGTTTGATTTTTGAATTTACTACATAATCTCTTAAAATTTGGTCAATTCACACAAAACCATTAACATAGTCAATTTTCCGTTCACGGGATTAACTCTCCGTTAACGGAGTCCGACGTGGAGGACAGGTGGCTAACCTTTGCGAATCTGATAAAAAAAATTTTGTTTTCAAATGTTGAGTAAATAAAACGGTATCGTTTTATGATTTGGGGGCAAAAAAAAAATTTATGTTTCTTCACTCCACACATCAATATCACCCCGTAGCTTCATCTCTCACTCGAAACCGTCTCTGAAACCTCACCGTTCCCAGCTCTTACTCAGAAACAACAAACAGAGAAATTGCGTTTCGTGTCCGTCGATTTACGACGAAATCGATGTGATTCTGGTACAGAGCCGAGATCAAACCGACCAACCGGAAGGTGCGGTGGTGGTGTTAGCCATCGAGACGGAGAGAGATGTGAACGAATCGGTGGTTGTTGGATTTGGTGCTCCGACGAGCGAAGGTCGTCGTCGTTAGAAGGGTTTCCTTCTTCTGCAACTGATTTAGGAGACGAGAGAAATAGAGAAAACGAAGAAATGGAGAAGATGATTGATCGTAGTATTAACGCAACAATCGTTTTAGCTGCTGGTACTTACGCCATTTCCAAATTGCTCACCATTGATCATTGGCATGTAAGTGTATATCTAGATCCGTATAAGATTGAGCTTGGATTTGATGTTGCTCTAGTCAAATTTATATGATTGAGCTTGAATTTGATATTGCTTTAATCAAATTTGTATGATTTGAGCTTGAATTTGATGTTTCTTTTAGTCAAATTTGTACGATTTGAGACTGGATTTGATGTTGCTTTAGTGATTAGTCTTGGTAATTTAGAGTTTTGGGGATATGACTGGTTGATTCTGTTGGAGTTTACTTGAATGTTATTGAATTTACTATGTAATGATTTGTGTTGGATTTTGATGGGTTCTGTAATCTCAGGGTTGGACACTGTTTGAAATACTAAGATATGCTCCTCAACATAGCTGGATTGCTTACGAAGAAGCGTTGAAGCGCAACCCAGTTCTAGCGAAAATGGTCATTAGTGGAGTTGTCTATTCTGTAGGAGATTGGATAGCTCAGGTTCTTTGTCTTTTTTTGTTCTCTCTAAACTATGAATTCGAACCCAGTACAGTAAACCAATGATAACCTGAATACTCTCAACCCTCGTAACTTTGTTTCTCTCCCAAACCAAACCCGATGAATGATATAAGAACCCTAAATTTGTTTTTTTTGCCCCAAATCATAAAATGACACCGTTTTATTTACTCAACATTTGAAATTTTTTTTTTTTTATCAAATTCGCAAAGGTTAGCCTCCTGCCCTCCACGTCGGACTCCGTTAACGGGGAGTTAACGGGGTGTTAATCCCGTGAACGGAAAATTGACTCTATTAACGGTTTTGTGTGAATTGACAAAGTTTTAAGAGATTATGTAGTAAATTCAAAAACCAAACAAGTTCATGTGTGTTTTGACCGAGTTCAATACTTCATGTACAAATAATCAGCAACAATATAGTTCATGGAGGAATAGGCCGTTTTCCCGAGTTTTATTATACCTGGTATTGTATATTGCAACCAATTTTAAATACTCCAGTTTTATGTAGCGTCAACGTTCTATAATTCTATTGTTTTTACTTGTTATTTGCTCTTTGTTAATCTCCAACTATAAAGGTTGTTGCATTAATTTATCCTCAATTTTTTATAGAAAAAAATTGGTGATGATTTAAAATGCTCCAAGCAGTATTTTCCTACATTCCTGTGAGATTCAATAAAATTTGTTTACCCCACACACATAGAAAAAGATATCCCTACAAAACTAATCAATCAAATAAATAAATCCAATTGTTTTTGTTTTCATCAGTCACATTCATAAAAATATTTTAAAATAAATTTGAGTGTTTGTTATGTATGTTTTTTTGCCTATGTGGATAAGTACATGCCAAGTAATAAAATGAAATTATAAAAATGGAGCGTGAGAGATCGTGCTATTGTGGAGCCTATCATTGATACGATATAATTCGATGTCTTTTGTTTGAGTGTTTCGACATTTTTGCCTACCCTACTAAAATGGGAAATCATCTAAAATTCGTAAATTCGTAATATTAAACAAATAAAACCAAAGAGATAAACGAACGATCTGCCTCTTTTTTTTTCTTTTGAGTTTGGAAAAAATTATATGACAAATTTTATTAAGAAAAAAATATTTTAATTTGAGGAAATGAAACCGAAATTCAATTGAATACAAAAAAATGAAAACTAAGCTAACCAACGCAAATCGGACCGGGTTAACCAACCTGATTAATGAAATCAAATCAGTTTTAGACNAAAAAAAAAAAAAAAGCTAACCAACGCAAATTTAAGTTTAGTTTTAAAATAGTTATCCTTTTTAATTATTCTGGATTAAACATGTCTGAATTTAGTATAAATCACGAGCGAATTAAATCTTGGGATTCATTAACACCTATTATAAAAAAAAGGTTATATACTTAAATCCATACAAATCTCATGATCCATTAAATACCTTAATGCGGACCTAACTTGACATATAAAGCTCTTTTTTCCCTTTTTATCAACGAGGTCCATTCTTGAATTTATTATTTAATTAAAACTCTCATTACGAATCTGAAAGATAATTAATATAAGTAGTTAACGAAAGTGACAATTAAACGCGTTTTATTTTTAATTTGGCGTGCAAGCAAAGCTAAATTATAAAATCTAGAGAGAGAAAGAGCGAGTAAAAGGAATCCGAAGAAGAGCAATAATGATTTTGTTTGTTTTTGTTCCAAACAAATTATAAAAAAAAAACTTAAAATTAAAAAAAACGA